GTTTGGAGGGGAAGCCAGGAAGGAGGGGGCTGGCCTTCAGGCCTGGACCGGTGAGGAGGGAAGAGAGGCAGGTGGGAGAGAAGGTCACCGTAAGGGAAGGGAAGCACGTGTATGGAAGAGCTTTAGCCACGAGGTATCGACAGGCAGATCACCCACTGGGTGCCTGGCTTCTTCATTCATTCAGTCACTCACTCATTCATTCATTCAGGACCTACCATGTTCAAAGCATCCTGTTCCCTGCACGGGATAAAATGAACTGAAAACTGACAGGGTCCTTTGCCCTCATGAAGATTACACTTACTTCGGAAGTCAGCTAACTGTACCCACTGGGCCACACCTGGCCTGCCAGCTGCTTTCTGTAAGGTTTTATTGGAACAGTGTGTCTACAAGCGCTTTAGATCTGCTCCAGCAGAACTGAGCATGGCCCACAGAGCCCTGGACGTTCACTCTCTGGCCCTTCCCAGAAAGTCTGCTCACCCTGCATTTTACTTGTGAGTATTTAAAAATTTTCAGATCAACGAAATAGGCACTCTGACACCCTCTAGGGACCCCAATTTTCTGTTCTGTCACATTGGCGCGATCAGCACACCCTGTGGGCATTAAACGGGAGCACACAGGGGAAGCGCTCAGAAATCAGCCTGGAACACAAGCGCCCGAGATAATTTTTTACTCTCCCTATTGCTGGTACCACAATGGCTGGGAGTAAGAAGAGGGCTAACGTCACCCCAGCACGTCTTGAAAATGCATTCAGCTTTTTCACCCTGGTTCTAGGAATAGGCAGGATTCCTTGAGCTCAGTAATCCAGGCATCTTACAGGATGTTTTCCCCTGGTCTCTTGATTTTAAGACGAATATATTTTTTCACTATTTTCACATTTCTGAAGTTGAGGCTCATCTTACAATTAAGGTGGACATATGCTTTGTTCACTTATATTTGCTAAGAACTCAGGAGATACGAACAAAACACCTATGTGAACAATACATAAATGTATGTGTACATACATGTGGGTGTAAATACATATGTGTGTGTATATATATATATAGTTTATAGGACAGAAAGTTACATCTGTGTGGAGTTTACACTGGAACAGGGGAGGCAGACAGTGACAGCACCTAGTCTGTCAGTCGCTAATAACAGATATGAAACAAATGAAGCAGAGCAGAGGGACAGAGAATGGGGGCAGTTTGCAATTTAAACGTGGTGATGTCGAAGCAGGGAGCATATAGCGTTTAGCTCAGTGGTAGAGTGCATGCTTAGCATGCACAAGATCCTGGGTTCAAACCCCAGTACCTCTAAAAATAAACAAATGAATAAACCTAATTATCTCCCTCTCCCCTAAATAACATAAAATAGAATAAAATAAAATAGCATAAAATAGAATAGAATAGAATAGAATAGAATAGAATAAAATAAAATAAAATAAAATAAAATAAAATAAAATAAAATAAAATAAAAGTGGTGGTGTCGGGACAGCCTCCCTAAACATGGCCAGAGGCAGGCGAGGGCGCGAGTCTGCTGGGATGTGGACACACCAGGCTGCAGGCGGAGGCAGGGCGGATGCAAGTTCAGGAGCAGAGATGCGTATCTCCGGGAACGTTATCTTTCCTTCCTCTTCCCTCACCAAGGCTGTTACTAAGTGCAGGTTATCCTTGGATCGCAGGAGCACCATGTGGATGGTACAGGCGAGGTGTGAATTAATGAACTGGGATTTGGACCGAGAAGGGGTGCGGCGACAGTAACACGCTGTATTTCAGCTGACTCCTCACGCTCAGCTCCTTTGAAACAGCTGACGTATGTTCTTGGCCCGAAACTGCTGTAAGCCTACGTTCAAATGCATCACCTGCCAACAACCTAATAAATCCACAGGTAAGATTCTTTTTTTCCCCCAAAGTCATGGGAACCAGATGGGTTGTAACTGAAGCTGCAGGACCAGCTAAGCAAGTTCCAGCTCCTTCTTTGCACCTGGCGAGTAAAACTGACTGACGAGGTGTCTGTGTCCACAGAACGTTCTCAGGGCCCTCGAGACAAGTAAATCCATGTGTGTACATATCCCCCAGCTTTGCAGAGACTGAGGAGAGGACGGGAGAGTGGGGTCGTGGCCCTGACAGTCAAGGCAAACGCACCAAGAACGAGCCGCAGATCCGGAAAAGACAAGGCCACGGCATCCGGGTGGCCAAGAAGTCTTGACCCCAAAGCCCACATGCACATTTACAGGTACATGCCCGAGTGTCCCCTGGGGCCACACTCGGTGACCGTGCCTGTTTCCCCCGATTTAGAGAGGAGGGGACAGAGGCTCAGGGAGGCGCTGGCCCCAAAGCTCGCCCAGTCCCCACGTCAGGACGCCCCGGTCTTGACTGTCCGGCACAGGAGGTGGCATTCTCAGCTATGGGTTCAAGTTCACGTGTCCAAAATGAGGAGACATCGACAGTTACTAATCTAACCGCCTTCACTGATTTCCAGAACAGTGTCCTTCTGGATCCTAGAGGACAGCAGCTCAGAATGTGCATGTGTGCGAATGAAGGAGGGGAGAGAGGAGGGAGGCTGGGGGGAGGGAGGGGAGGGGAGGGAAAGGGGGTCAACACGGCCTCTGGGAAGCAAGCGAATCAGGAAGGATGTTGACTGGAAGGGAGGAGAGCGCGGAATCGGGAAGGCGTAAAGCGCGGAGGTGGGCACCGCTCAGCGGAGGGGCAATTAGCTCTGTCACACCCTCATGGCTCCGGCAGGTGTCACAAAATCACCGCATAACGCAATACTCAGTGATAATAATGATGATGTCACAGAGTATATTTTGCATTTTGTTTTCCACACCGTTTTATAAAGCGCAGAAGATGTGACACATCTTCCATGAAGACAAGTTAACCAAACCGAGTGCGTGTGTGTGTGTGCGCGTGCACGCGTGACTTACGGGGTCAGCTTTTGTTTCCTGGAACATTTATTTATAATACAGAATGCCTTGTCTCTCAGTAGTGCTGAACAGACGACGTGTTGCTCTCCTAAAGCATTCATAATGGTAACACCCTAGACCCTGGCTTCCAGGGAACTTTTATTTCCAGGTGAAAAGAGCCAGGTCTGGAGCCCACACATTTTCCCACAAAATGTGAGAAAAGTCAGTGTGCCCACCCGCTTCCCAGAGACGCTCGGGCAGCCACAGGGAGCCTGTGTGGGGGTGTTTACCCATTGCTCTAACCTGCCTCTGACTCACCCATCACTCCTCTGGCCTCGGGTAAGGCTAGCCATGGGGGGATGGGGTGCCGTCTTCAGCTGGAGAGAACAGCTGTGTTAAGTCTCGCCCCCGGCACACCTAGAGGGAAAGCACACCTGAAACAGGGAGACAACCATGAAGTCAACCCAGAGGGCCTCTGAGAACCAAAGGGCAGCTGAAAGCTCCTCACTCTCCCTTTCCGTGCAGATGTCATTTTCCAACTAACTCACCAAGTGCATTCTTCTGTGATGAGATGAGATGCGGTGGTGGTACGGACTGAACATTTGTTTCCCCTCAAAATTCATGCGAACATCCTGAGCCCCCTGCAATGGGATGGTATTAGGAGGTGGGGCCTTTGGGAGGTGGTTAGGTCATGAGGGTGGAGCCCCCATGAACTGGATTAGTGCCCTTATAAAAGGGACCCCAGAGAGGTCACACCTTCTTCCCGCCAGGTGAGGACACATGGGGGGTCAGCTGGGAGAAACCAGGAAAAGGGACCCCGACTGTGTTGGCATCCTGATCTCGGATTTCTGGACTTCACAACTGTGAGAAATAAAAGTTTGTTGCTGATCTGGCACTCAGTCTATGGTGTCCTGCTGGAGCAGCTGGAGACGACTAGAACAGGCAGGGATACATCATACGTGTATTTAAAGGAAGACAATTCAAACATAAGTGGATGGGTGGGAGGGAAAAAAGTGAGAGAACGGGTAAAAGTGAGAGAGTTGAAGAGAGAAGGAATGAGGGAGAAACAGAATATACAAGAAAAGAACAAAAATGCAGACCACACAGGATTCCTGCCCTACATGCTGACTTGTAAACCCAAACTCCAAGGACGATGCAGTTCCCCTTACAGTGTGTTTCTCTCTATGCACTAGAAGGACTTCTGAAAAATTGGATATGAGCAGGAATTTTCTAAAAGTCCTTGCTGCATACATCTTCGAAAGCTCACAACTTGAAGTATCCATCTGTCTTAGTCCGTCTGGGGTGCTATAACAAAACATCACTGACTGGGTGGCTTAAAGATCATTCATTTCTTACAGCTCTAGAGGCTGCGAAGTCTGAGAGCAGCATGGCCTGAGTGAGAGTCCTCCCCTTCCTGACTCGCAGATGGCTGCCTGAGTCTCACTGTGTCCTCACACAGTGGACAGAGAGCTCTGACACCTCTTCCTTTCCTTATAAGGGCACTAACCCCATCCTGGGGGTTCCACCCTCATGACCTTATTGAGCTATAATCACCTCCTAAATGCCTCGCCTCCAAATATCATCACATGGAGGGGTTAGGGCTTCAACATATGAATTTGCAGGGGCATGGGTGCAAACATTTCGCATCTCCAAACCCGTTCACAAGGACAAGGAACCCTTGGGAAGATGGACTATTAGTTCCCAACGTCTAAAATGTATCCTTTTGGTAAAGTTTGAGTTTCCAAGTCTTGAATATTCTTATCTTCGTGAGCCAAAGGGTATGGGAGGCATGTATGCCAGCCTCCTCATTATACAGATGAAGGGTCTAAGGCCCAGAGAGGCAAAGCAACTCAACCAAAGTCACACAGCTCAAGGGAGTCAGAGCTGAGCCTTGAACCTGAGAGTCTGGTCTCTTCGGTGGTACACATCCGGGTGGTTACTCACCTGTGCTGCCTGAAACAAGTGGGCCAGTGCCTGGACCTGGCAATCCACTAGTTATACGAGCCTATAGTTTTACCATCCTATTTTCTGGAAGTCAAATCGACATCCCCAGGGTGTTTCTCTTTTTCATTACAGGAGTCATCTCTATTTTATTTGTATTTTGCAGCAAAATGATTTAAATCAAATGTGTTTGGGCACAGAGGAAATCTGATCTGAAAGAGGATTTCTGTGGCAGAATGAGAGCCAGCAGATACTTATATGCTGCCTTTTTGAGGCCAGTAACATCCTCCGACAAGGGGATCCATCAATACATCTTTCATAAGGGCTTCTCTGCACAGTGAGGTGGAAAAATCTTTCCAATGACTCCAGCCCATTTGTAACTTCGCCCTGAACAAAAGAAGGGATTGATCGGGGCTTGGACTGCTTCCCTGCCCAGGGGCCTTCCTGCTCCCTAAGAGGCAGAATCTGCAGATGGAATTCAATCGGGCAATTGCTCCTGGAGGGAGTGCCCCGTTGGGGCCAGCTCGGCCTCTGAAGAGTGGGCAGGGACGAGCCGAACGTGTTCAGCCTCCTGTGCTGGGTCTGCAGAGGGACTGATGCCCAGAAGTCTCTAAAGTAAAGAGGCTCAAAGTGGATCCTGGGGACAGCTCGCCACTGGGTGTTCAGAACATCAGATCCACCCCCACTTGGTGATCTCCAATGCACGTCCAGCGTAATACAGCCTTGGTGCATCCATCAGCCAATCGGTTGACATTTCTTAAGAATCCACTGAAGGGCCAGGCTCAGGAGAGCTCGAAGGCTCCGTAACAGGGCAAAGGGGTATGGAGGGCTGAGAAGGGTGGCCCATTCCTCCAGACGAGTCCATGACCCCAACCTCCTCACATGGCGGCCGAGGTCCTGAGTGCTCCGTCGGCTGGGCTCACGTCGGCCCGAGTCAGTCTTAGATGCTCCTACTTGCTAACTAACATCTCTTGAGCAACCGACTTCTCCCTCTGGGCCTTGCTTCCCTTTCCTATAAAACTGGCATGTCTTCCTGTCAAACATATTGTTATTAAAGCATTTGAATAGTCTAATAAAGCTCCAATAGATTAAGTTCAGAAAATACATGGGAGAGTCACTTGAGAGTTTTCTGCTCTCAGAATTATCCTGATTATTAAAAAGTGCTGGAACTTTAAAAAAAACAAAAACAAAACCAACAACAACAAAACTAGCATGAGGCCGCTTATCTTAGGGCAGTGTTTTCAGTTTGGGGATGGGGCAATTTTGCTTCCCAGGGGTCATTTGGAAATGTCTGGAGACATCTCTGGCTTTCACAACTGGGGGAGGTAGGGCGGGGTGCCACTGGCTCCTAGTAGGCAGAGGCCAGGGATGCTGTTAGACAGCCTCTGGTGCACAGGACAGCCCCGTTGCCCCCACACAGTAAAGAAAGAGCCAGCAGTGTGCCAGAGTTGACAGCACATACCTTAGAGGTTGCTGCATGAAGTCCCTGAGACTGTGAAACATGGGGCACAGTCCAGGGCCAGGCACAGGGCAGGCCAGGGTGAAGGGAGCTTCTGTCCTTCTCCTCTGCAAAGCACTTCCTCCTGACCGATCCACTCCCCACGCACCTCCCTGTAAGGTGGCATCAGGACTCCACTAGAATCGGGACTTCTCACTCCGTTCCTCTAAGGGGACTGGGGTGCAGAGGAGACGGGAGCTCCACCTGCCTCCTCACAGGCTGGCTCAGTCCTCAGACACCTGCCCACACTCCTGCAAACCAACCCACACATCACCCCAGTCCCTAACTTCTCTCTTACTTCCTGGGCAAGAGAACTTGAATGAGATCCTTCTCTTCTCCAGGCGCCAATGTTGGGATAAACAGGATCAGAGAACCTAATTCAAGTCAGAGGTGCCATGAGGTGTGGAAATCAGTATCCTCCCCAGTACACGGCACACAGGAGATGCTCAATAAGTGGGGTTGTTTTCCGCAGAGGAAATAATACCCATTTCCCCTCATTGTCAGGAGGACTAGAGGTCAAATACAAGAGCGGGAAGCATGGTGCCTGGTGCCACAGCTGATGCTCCAACTTGGTGGCTGGAGACAGACGAATGCAAACATGAATGACAAGAAGAAATGAAGGTTCGGGGGAAAGCAAACGTCCAACGCGGAGCCTAGCACGCGTGGAGAGCTCACAAGATCTGTTTGCCCAGCGGGAAGTGCAAGGGGCTATAAAAGGGTTTCTCAGTCTCAGAATTACTGGCACTTGGGGCCAGATGATTCTCTGCCGCTGGGGGGCTGTCTTGTGCGGGGTAGGTGGCTGGCCACTACCCGCTAGATGCTGACAGCATCCCTTCCCTCCCCGTCCTGGGCTGGAGACAACCAAAAATGTCTCTGGACTTTGCCAAACTTCCC